TGTCATGTATTAAAAAATTGTAAAATTTTAAAAATATATTAATATAATTAAAAAGAGTGTTCACAATTAATTTTTTCCATTTAGTATAAAAACATGTTACCCGCCAAAAAGAGTATTAATTTTTTCATACTAAGATTATAAAATGCTTATTTTTTTATTACAAAGTGTTCACAATGTATTTAATTTTGTTCATAACTAATAAGTATTCATCTATTTAATAAAATGTCCGTCAAGTATGAAGAAAAATTGTCATCACATTAAAAAATGTTCACTATGTTTTGAAAAAAAGCTACATAATTGAAGAAAATAGTTCACGTAAGTTTTAGAAAATAATCCTATACTTTAAACAATACGTGACATGTCTAAAATAATTTATTCCTGTAGCTCTAAATCAATTCCTGTATTTCAAAAGATTAAATATAAAAATAGTGAAAAAATGACAAAAACAACGGAAAATAGGGAAACAATGTAATCTAAACAAAAATAAGAAAACTTTAAAAGGGTAAAAATGATAAAAACACACAAGAAATAAAAAAGGAAAAGGAAAATAAATCTGGAAAAAGAACCAGAGAAAAACATAAAAAAGGTCAAAACCCAGATCTCGGGAAAACCTACACTAATTTTTTTTAGAGATATCAACCTACACTATTTTTTTTTGAGAAAAACGTACACTAACAAAATATAGGAAGAGACCGCTCACAGAATAGCGATCTAGTAAAAAAGAGCCCTGTACCACCAGTACTGGGCCTAGCCCGGTGAAGCCACGCTGAAGGCGACTGCGGTATGACCCACACAATGAGCGAGAAATAGCAACTGCATAAGTCACAACCCAATTTAGTTTAACTGTCATTCACATATTTACATCGATATTATTTAATTTTAGTTTTAATAATATATTTAATAAATATATATAATATCGTTTATCTTGCGAATTTATATGTAATTTGTTCACTGTTTATTAAGAAAATGTTCATCATGTATTAAAAAACTGTTCACAGTTTACAGAAATTGTTAATCGGCTATTAATAATTATTCATACTTTAAATATCAAAATTTACCATGTATTAAAACAGTGTTCAGCGTGTATTTAAAAAATTACATGCTTATAAGATTATTCATAATTCAAAAAATGTTCAATGATGATTAAGAATATATTTATAGTGTGAATATAAATTTTTTTTTACTTCAAAAGTGTAGATCATGTATTTTCAAAATGTACATTGTAACTAAAAAGTATTCATGTATTTTAAAAAATATTCTTCAAGTATTATGAAAATGTTCATCACATGTTAAAAATGTTCACTGTATTTTGAAAACATTTCTCATATTTTAAGAAAATAGTTAACCCACATTTAAAACAGTGTTCATATACTTTAATTAAAATGGTCGCATGTCTAAAACATTTGTTCATGTAGGTCTAACTAAATTCTTGTATTTTAACCGAAAGACTATAGACTAAATAAAGAAAAGTGAACAAAATAAGAAGAAAAAAGAAAACAACAGAAATATAGGGTAAACAAAACCCAAAAGTAAATAAAAAATTATAATAGGTAAATGGAAAAGGGGAAAAGGGAAATAGACACAAAAAAAGGAAAGAAAAAGAAATAAAGAAACAAAACTAGAAAAAAGTTTAACAGCGTAAAACATAGAAGACCTGCCAAAAGCGAGTTCCTGGAAAAACCTACACTAAATTATTTAAAAAACCCACTTCTAAGAAAACAATCTTCGAAAAACCACCCTTTACTGCCAGCACTGGGCCTGACCGAGTGAAGCCACGCTGAAGGATGGTGTGATGACGTATGACTAACAATAAACAAGAAATAGCAATTGAGATGTTCAGAGCCTAATTTGATTTAGTTACCAGTTACATACTCATACATAGAATTTTTCTATTTCTCTAGCTTAGTTTTGAGTTTATATTTGAAATAAATACAAATTAGAACAAAATACATGGTGCTGTCTACATCGATAAATTTTATTTTGAATGTTTGAACAATTTTAAATAGGGTTACAGAGGCAGGTTGCACAAGAAGCCCCGGGGAGCAGCACCAGATATGTTTTCCGTCTCTTACGGCCTGCACAGTTTCAGTAGTACTTCCTTCATTTTTAAATATAAGTTTTTGTAGAGATTTTACTATAAACTACATTCGGTGCAAAATGAGTGAATGCACACTCTAAAATATATATATATATACATCCGTACGTGGTTTATAATGAAATCTCTACAAAGATTCATATTTACCAACAAAGGCAATATTCTACATTTTACATACTAGCCAATGAAGAAGCCGCCAATATCAAGAATCAGAATCCAACTATGAGGATTCCAAAGGCAGGAGAAGGTGCAAAGGGCGCAGAAGTTATTTGCCTGCAGCTAGCTAGGCTATGCGCTGTCAGTGGACGATCACATAAGATAATGTGTGGCTGTCATGTTTGCTCGGCGTGCGGTGAGTACGCCGGTGCTCGTCCATCTCACGATGCTGTTGTTGTCGTGCTGCTTTGTCAAAGTGTGTCGTGCCAATTTCGTGATATAGTTGCAGTCTTTTCAGCGGAAAAGAGGCACTAGCTGGTGGGGAACGAGATGATTGTTCTCATATGGCCATCTCTTCTGGACACGTTTGGTTACATTCCCAGTGGAGCCTGCAACAGTTTGTATGTTCAATTAATGATATAAGTGTCCATGTCAGCAACCAACAACACATCATACAAGCTCTTCAATAAGGCGTATGTTAAGCGTATGTTAAACAACCAGACGGGTCCACTAAATGTTGAAAGACTAAACAAACTTGCCCTGCAGCTTGTGCCTGGAGCGTTGGTTTAGGTTCATATGATTTCATTCTCTCTCTTCTTTTATTATGTGCCATGTCATCAAAACAGTCTAGGTGACAATTTAACCAACGATGATTATATAACTGTTGGAGATGCCCTTAAAGGTATATTAGTCGTTTGATAGGCCGCATCAAGACCAACTCGCATCCTCCCCGTAGTGTAAATTGTACTAGGCCGAGCCTACATATGAAAAAACGGTCGATCTGAGTGTTTCCGCGAGCCTGGCGGAGAGCGCTTTAAGTTTTGTGCCAGCCAATTTCTACGTGCAGGCCAGGCAACCAAGCAACTACATACTTAACTCGTCAGAGCCTGGTTGGGCTTGATGCATCCTATCAAACGCGTCCTTTGTGAACCTCTGATGCTCTGCAAATCGTTCTATGTGCTTGTCTTCTAGTAGTTTTCTAAATACATAGTATCTTTCTTTTATTTTAGATGTTATGTCAGTTGACTGAATCTAGCCACACTCTATTACATTTTTTTTTGTTAATGTAGAAATTTCTTAGTAGTTTCTAACTAGTACTCCGTCTGTCCTATAATATAAAATTGTTTTTGGCACTACTATGTATTTCCGTAATTGATAAGTAGATAGATCGATCTGCTAATACTAATTGACTGTTTAGCTATACGTACATTAAGCAAAGAAATAGCACAAACCTCAAGAAAGATACTTCCTTCGTTCAAAAATAAGTGTCTCTGATTTAATATAAATGTAGTACTACAAAGTATTAGCAACATTTATTTTGGGACAGAGAGAATATCAAATAATCAACGGTGTCGAGCATATGTGCTGGTGGACGGTCGAGAGCAACATTTTTCGATTGGGTCTGTCTAGAACTCAGTCGACTGAGGCTTAACGAAGTCTAGGTCGAGTGACATCATTGCAGTTGTTTTGCCGCAAGCAGCATGGCTAGACACTACAACCAATGATGAAAAATGTTTCAACGGTTTTACAAGCAATGACAATTGATGCTCCAACCGTTGTGACTAAAATGCTGAAACCACGGCAATGCTACACACACGGGCCGATGACTACGGAAACCGTGTGTCTAGGATTTTCGGCTGAAACCATCAATAACGGATGTTACAACCGATGAGATGCTATGCCTGTGCTACAAAACATGCTACAACCAACAAGACGGCAATCAGTAGGATTTTTTCTTTTTTGCAAATGTTGGGATAAAATGTTGCATGATCGACTGAGACCTGGTTAAATTTTAGCGGACTGATTTTTAGAAAGCCCTTTTTCGATTTCGGCTCATGATGGACAGACTTGAGTGCGCTGCAAGACTTATGTTCAACGTAGACCTACCACTTGCTGGCGTCGTTGGTTGGAGTCTTGTCAGATGTATGCATGCATCCAGATATCTTCTGGAAGCATAGACGAGACCGGCACCAAGATTTGGAGCCATACGAGTGATATTTGTGTGCGATGCGAGAACCCACGGCTGCTAGCCCGTGTGTGTACGTAGGACTATAAATCCACGTCTACTAAGTGGAGTAGGTGCTAGCACTTCAAACTCAACAGCATGAAGATCTTGTCAGTGTCGCAGCTCTCGCCCTGTGTTCTCTTCCTCACCATCTTGTTCGCTTGGCCGGTGGCCGAGTCGGCGACCAGCCCCGTTGCCGTGCGCGCCAACCTTACGCACGCGGACAGCGGCCGCGGCTTCACCAGGCGCGAGCTTCTCAGCCGGATGGCCGCCCGGTCAAAGGCCCGCCTGGCCAGCCTGCACTCCCCCGCCCGTCCCGGCGCGGTGACCGCGCCGGTGGCCCGCGGCACCGTCGGCAGAGAGGACATCAGTTCCGAGTACCTCATCCACTTCAGCATCGGCACGCCGCGCCCGCAGCGCGTGGCACTGGAGCTGGACACCGGCAGCGACCTCATCTGGACGCAGTGCGCTTGCGTGCACTGCTTCGACCAGCCGTTCCCGGTTCTCAACACCTCCGCCTCCCGCACCCTCCGTGATGTCTTGTGCTCCGACCCTCTCTGCACGCGGGGCGGCCTCCCGCTCTCTCGGTGCGCCGTCAAAGACAACTTCTGCTCGTACGCCTACTACTACGGCGACGGATCCTTCACCGTGGGCAAGATCGTCGAGGACACTTTCACATTCAAGACGCCCCACGGCAAGTGCGGCACGGTTGCCGCCGTGCCGAACCTCCACTTTGGCTGTGGCATGGACAACAAAGGCACCTTCAACTCGAACGAGTCCGGCATCGCCGGCTTCGGGCGCGGCCCGATGTCTCTGCCGTCGCAGCTCAAGGTGCACAGATTCTCCCACTGCTTGACGACCATGGTAGAGTTCAGGACCAGCCCGGTGTTCTTGGGGACGCCTGATGACCTTGAAGCGCACGCCACGGGGCCCATCCAGTCCACCCCGTTCGTCCCAAACACTGGGGGTGCGCTCAGCTCGTTCTACTATCTTTCACTCAAAGGCGTCACCATCGGCAAGACGCGGCTGCCGTTTAACGAGTCAGCTTTTGCGCTCAACGACGATGGCTCCGGCGGGACGATCATGGACTCAGGCACGAGCATCACGATCTTCCCGCGGGCCGTGTTCCGAAGCCTCCGGGAGGCGTTCGTGTCGCAGGTGCCGTTACCCATCGCGAACGACTCCACTGATGCTGATAGCATGCTGTGCTTCGACGTCGCCCCGAAGAAGAAGGTGCCCGCAGTGCCGAAGCTAGTCCTCCACCTAGAGGGCGCGGACTGGGACCTGCCACGGGAGAACTACGTGCTCGATCTCGACGACGACGGCGACGGCACAGGCGGCGGGCTGTGCGTGGTGGTCCATTCGGCGGGCGAAAGCGACTGGGCGATCATAGGCAACTTCCAGCAGCAGAACATGTACATCGTCTACGACCTGGACAGCAATAAGATGGTCTTCGCGCCCGCGCGCTGCGACAAGCTGTGACCGAACGTGCACGTGCATATGTACTCTCTCCGTTTCTAAATATAAGATTTTTTGGCATTTTAATTGGACTACAACATACATAGATTCACTCATTTTGCTACATACGTAGTCACTTGTTTAAATATCTAGAAAGACTTATATTTATGAACAGAGCGGGTATGTGTTAATGCATGTATTGTGTACGGTTCTACGTTATCTGCTCTAGCTAGGCACAACGAACATGCATGCATGTTCCTACGTACGGGCTAGTACTAAATAAAGAACTCAGATGTTGTCGTGACAAGTTTTCTATCGAGAAAAATGTTTACTTCTCTTTTTAAGATAGATATAGACAGGCAGGCTAAAATTAAAGGACAGAAACTAGTCATCCATGCATGCACTAACGCTAGCTAGCGAGTTAGGTCTTGATCGACGTCACCGCCGGACCAGTTTGACGCCTTGTCCTTCGGCATCCATAGCTGCAAGATTTATACACAGCATCCGCCGGATGCTTGGGAAAACGACCTTCAATCGTAAACTTTCAGCGACTAGTCCAGAAAATGTTTAGGCAAAATAATTCTCTTAGATTACCCCCGGAAGGCTCTGAAATGTCGAATATGTTTGTCAGCCACACGAGAGTAGTGTTGAAAATATTAGCACATTTTGACTAATCTAATCCACAAGGAAACAGTAAACATAGCGAATATGGTATGCATCTCATACCGGTACCTAAGCATGTGAGCACGTACATCACATAGAATTGAAACATCTATGAATAAGTTATATACGGCCAACACATGAACGAGCAAATAGGAGATAAACGAGTCATACCCTCCGGTTGGCCAGGCCAACGCGGCGGCATCATCGACAGCCTCGGCCAGGAAGTAGTGGAAATAGAGGCGGACGGAGATGGGGATGGATCAGAAGCAGTCGCGTCGAGACGCTCACCAAAAACCTTATTGCCGTTCTCCCGGCAGGATCTCAAACGACAGGGTTCCGGAGGCACCTGCTCTCCTGACCAACCATGCACGCGGTCGTCGGGATGGGATCGCCGGAAGCAGCACAGAGAAAAAAACAGTAGATGACGACTAGGGTTGTGCAGGAGGAAGCGAGTGAACTGAGTTAGGGTTCAGTCCAGCGCCTTCTTATATAGGTCATCGGGTAGATGGGGCTGAGCTCAGGCCCACGACCACTCGTCAATTAATCCAAGATTAATTAACCATTTCGGACCGGCAAAAATAAGCTTCGGCTCGGCTCATTCGCACAACCCGCGGCGCGCGCATCGTGACGAGGCAAGGCGTGGCATGGCAAGGTGGGCAGCGGAGGAGGAGGAGCGTGCGTGTACAACTCCTCTTCTCAAGCTCCCAATGACATGTGGTAGAGGAGCCCTTATAAAGGGGTCTCATTCTCACTCCATTAACAGTATTATAATAAACTTCCCACCACTTGTCATGCATCTAAATGGGTCTTAGAGATTAACCAAGAATTATTGTCTTATCTGGGCCTAAGACCATCTATAAATCCAACAATCCCTCACCAGATCTCGGGACACATAAGTTTGTCAACTGTTTCAAACAATGTTTGATATACCAAAATTTTCAATGGAGACTGTTAAGTTGAACTTCCACCTAGAGCAACAGGATTAAACTTCTTCACAACTAAACAATGGACTATGCCTTGAATTGTCAGTTTGCCATGCAGAAGTTTCGCCTATTATCAGCTGATACGTGGTTGTCGAAGGCTAAACCCCACATAGTCATAATCCTTACCTTCTCATGAGCTTTGATACGTCCCAACGTATCTATAATTTTTTATTGTTTCATACTATTATAGTATCAATCTTGGATAATTTATATACATTTCAAGCAACAATATATCATTTTTTTGGACTAACCTATTAACTTTGTGTCCAGTGTCAGTTGTTGTTTTCTACCTGTTTTTGGTTTTTCAGAATATCAGTACTAAACAAAGTCCAAATGCCACGAAACTTTTTGGAGATTTTTTTCTGGCAATAAGCGACCCTGGAAGCTTCAGGAGGGGACAAGAAGATGGAGCGGTGGCCCAAGAGGCACCAGGGCGTGCCCTGGTTGCTTGTGAGGTTACTATTGCTTCTGTTGTTACAATCATTACAAAATTGCTATGGTTACTGTTTCTGTTACTGTTACTACTACCAAAGCCATCAAACTACTGTGCTACTAAACACTTTACTGCAGAGATATTATTTTTCAGGTGTGGTTGAATTGACAACTCAAATGCTAAGGCTCATAAATATTCTTTGGTCCTCCTTGTGTTGAATCAATAAATTTGGGTGAAATACTACCCTCAAAGACCGTCGCGACCCCCTATACTTGTGGGTTATCAAGACCTTTTTATGGCACCGTTGCTGGGGAGCATAGCTTTGTTTATTGAGTTCACTTGGGATTTATACATCTGCTTATCATTATGAAGAATTTAAAAGACGTTAGAACCAAGATCGTACCCTCTAAGATGAGGTGAGGTAAGGAACTACCATCTAGCTCTGCACTTAATTTACCTTCTATTTTAGGTCGACTTGAAACACCACCACCTACTATTCAGACTGATATGTCGCAAGTAATTGATGATGGTACTTCCGCTATGAATGATGCTTATGATGATGATAGTACTCTGCTTGATGATACTGTGCCACTAGATGAATTTCTTGATGAAAAAATTGCTAAAGCTAAATAATTTGGTAATGTTGAAACTGCTGAAAAATATGATTCACCTATTATGCCTACCTCTCCTACTAGATTTGAAATGCCTAAAGTAACTGGGGGTTATGTTATGGATTGGGAGATTGCTAGAGACGTTTTTACTTGTAATGGTAGAGAAGATCTTAAGAAATTACCGAGTAAGCTAAAAGAAAAGGCTATGATAGAGAGAATGAAATATGATCCTAAATTTGCCACTTCTTCTATCGTTGTTATTGATAAAGATTATGCATTCTTGGTTGATCCTGAACTTATTACATTGGTAAAATCTGATCCTTTTCATGGTTATGAATCTGAAACTATTGTGGTACACCTTATTAAATTAAATGATATAACCATCCTATTTTATCAAGAAAAAAAATCACTTTTACTATATTCTTAAGTTGTTTACTTTCTCATTAAAGGACGATTCTAAAGAATGGTTCAATACTCTTGATCCTGGTTGTATGTGTAGTCCCCAGGATATGATATATTACTTTACTAAAAAATATTTTCCTGCTCATTAAAAGCAGGCCACCTTATAGGAAATATACAACTTTGTGCAATTTGAGGAAGAGCATCTCCCTCAAGCTTGGGGGAGGCTTCTAGAATTACTTAATGCTTTGTATGAACATCCTCTAAAGAAAATGAAATACTGGATATCTTTTATAATGGACTAACCAATGCTTCTAGGGACTACCTAGATAGTTGTGATGATTGTGTTTTCAGGGAACGAACTATTGAACATGCTGATATGTCTTCGACGTATCTACTTTTCCCCTTGATTTGGACTCTAACTTGCATGATTTGAATGAAACTAACATGGACTGACGCTGTTTTCAGCAGAACTACCATGGTGTTGTTTTTTGTGCAGAAATAAATTTTCTCCTAATGGGACAAAACTTTGCGAGGATTTTTTATATAATAAAAGAGAATTTCTGGAGCCAAGAACCACCGGAGGGGGCTCCTAGGTGGGCACAACCCACCAGGGCGTGCCCAGGTGGGTTGTCCCCACATGGTGGCCCCGCTGACCCTGAAATTGACGTTATAAAATCCTATTTTTCCAGAAAAAATTCAAGGAGAAAGAATTATTGCGTTCCATGAGACGGAGCCGCCGCCGTCTCCTGTTCTTCATCGGGAGGCCAGATCTAGAGTTTGTTTGGGGCTCCGGAGAGTGGGATCTTCGATCTTCGTCATCACCAACCCTTCTCCATCGCCAATTCCATGATGCTCCCCGCCGAGAGTGAGCAATTCCTTCGTAGGCTTGTTGGTCGGTGAGGAGTTGGATGAGATTCATCATGTATTCTGGTTAGTTTTGTTAGGGCTTGATCCCTTGTATCCACTATGTTCTGAGATTCATGTTGCTATGACTTTCCCATGCTTAATGCTTGTCACTTTGGGACCGGGTGCCATGATTTTAGATCTGAACCGTTTATGTTATCACCATTATATCTATGTTCTAGATCCGATCTTGCAAGTTATAGTCACCTACTATGTGTTATGATCCGGCAACCCCGGAGTGACAATAGTCGGGACCACTCCCGGCGATGACCGTAGTTTGAGGAGTTCATGTATTCACCGTGTGTTAATGCTTTGTTCCGGTTCTCTATTAAAAGGAGGCCTTAATATCCCTTAGTTTCCAATAGGACCCTGCTGCCACAGGAGGGTAGGTGTAACGCCCGGGTAATTAAGCTACAATAATCCCACGCTAATGGTGCCACATCACCATGATTGCGGTTGTTAACCTTGTGTTGGTTCGAAACCGTTTTAAACATTCAAATTCGAATAATATCAACAATAAGAGTTTTTCAAAATTTAAAACAAAATGTTCGGGAGGTGCCATATTTTGCATAGATAATTATGTGGTAATAAACACATTTTTATAAAATGCCTACGTATTTTAAAATGAATTAAAACAAAAAAGAAAATAAATAAAAAGCAAAACAAAAACAAAAACTAAAAGAAAAATAAAACTAAAAGAATAAAAACAGAAAAACAAAACTAACAAAAAAGCAAACCCATCACCTCGCCAAATGGGCCAAAAGGCCCAGCTGGCAAGCCCACTAGCCTGACTGGCCCGTCCCCACTCCCTTATCCCCTGGTGCCGAAACCCTAACCCCCTAACCGCACCACTTCCCCCACATCTCCCTCTCGTTCCCCTCCCCCCTCTCTCGTTGGATCTGGATCGAGAGGGCCCGTTCCCGTCCACGACGCCGCCGTCCGGATCGAAC